AATAAAATAATTCGGAACTAATATTTAAAGGTTAGGATTGCGCAATTTCAGTAAAGGTCAGAGGGCACAGCTCATTTGAATGTATTTAAATAACAAAAAGATATGGTGAAAGACAGAGAATACACAAAATACTCAGACCTTGAATGTATTTCAGTATATTTTAGGTAAAACATACTTGCAAACCTGCACGTGAGCACATCATTATACCCAACGACTTACTTGGGAGGGATAAACAGTTTGAAAGATGCGTGCAAAATCTAAGTGGGTATATGAGCCTACTAAAGTTTACTCAGGTCATTGTCACAGAAATGACCCATGATGCACCTGTACTGTAGCCAGTGAGTGTAGTCATGCCATAGTGTTGATCTAAGTCCTATTCCAAGGATTAGTCTCAATGAGGTACTTTCCTTTCTCCGTGGTCTCAAGGACGAGGCCTATGAATTTTATTCCTGTAAAGTGTGTGAAATAATTTTAAGCAAAATACCTTGTACTTACTCCATGTCACGTAGGTGTGCCAGTGATTCCACAGAGACTAATTTCTTCTGTGTTGTCTTGATGATACTCGAAGTCGCGAACTTAAAACGGATTAAAGCGACCACCGTGCGCTCAGTATACGACACACGTGGGCGCACCCACGTGTTGTTTGCAGTGTGTCAGTCCGTAGTCAGTCCGCCATACATCCGTGTCTGTAAATGGGTTTTGCAGCGTGAGTTTTGTCTAGTGACGTCATGTACGGAGTGCCTGGCTTGTAGCCTCGACCCGGAAAAGGCACCGGGTTGTCTGCCCCCATCATGCATCTCAAAGTCTCCCATTTGTACATAATACAAAAATTCTTTCAAATAAGAAAAACAATGAATAGGAAACAAAAGTCAGTTTTTCACTTTTCGGTGTTCCAAAATTAATCTTTTTACTTGAATTCTAAGCAACCTGATTTTTTCCTTCTCAAATCAAACATGCATTTAACACCGATTATGAAAGGTTTCAGATTTTGTTGTGACATATCGAAGGTTGCTTTCCAAGCCCCATCATTTCTTCCCAAATTGGACAATTATGCCCGAACAAAATTAATTTTTCAAACTGAAAATGATTCATAACAAATGCAGGCTGAATGGTTGCTGGATATTCATAAAATGATGCTGGTTAATATTGAAGAATTCGTTTTAAAAATCGAATAATGGTTTAGCCTTCATTTTCTGGTATCTTCATCTTGCAAAATACTTCTAATACAAGCAATGAAATTCACAGGTTTGACTATAAAGACAGAGAATATCCCAAAACTTATCAGGGGGAAAAAAAAGAATTTTTTTCAGTTAATTTCATTTACAAGAAATTTAAGATGGAGAAATTACGATATATGGCTGCTTTCATTATTTCAACAGTGACAATCATGAAAAATTTTAACAGACATGGTTTGGAGGGACAAAGATACTTCATTTCATAGACAAGCGATTCCCAAACTTGCCTTTCGACAACTTATTCTATCCTCTTGGAAAATGTAATGACAAATCTAAGTTACATTGCACAAATAGATTTACCTTAATGTACCTTTGCCGTAGAAATTAAGGCTACTGAAAGAACACAAAGTTGTTAGTCACATGAAGGTTCTTTTTTTCTCTGTTTACAAAATTGCCCATTATTTGTGACCCGTCACGACAAAATGAGAGTAAATTCCCATCCTGCTCTTTCCTATTTTGAGGGTTCAAAGTCATATTGAAGTGGAGGTTAATTTGGGGGGTTTGTAATACAATGTATTTGGAAAGGGTGACCCATCTCCTATTTATTTCCAAATATTTCGTAGAATCACATATTTAAAAATGTCATTTTTCTCTGCAATGACAACAATAGTATAGTATGCATGCCTGGTCTGAAATGTTGAAACAATGTCGGGAACAAAGACGCAAAGCTGCCAGAAGAATGCCACATTGTCAACATACACTTCTACCCTAAGTGTTCCATGTACATGCCGTTGAAAAGCTCTCTTTCTAGTGAATTAAAAAATAAATTTGCCAATATCTCATTTTGAAAATTCTGACTTTCCGCTCATTTTGTGGTGACAGGTCACATTTTTATTTCAATGTGGTTGCTTGACATTAATCAGCGACTAAAAATTCAAATACACCCCGCTGAAAAAGATTCAAATAATGAACATTTGTAATTCCCGCCTGTTATTACGCCATCTCTGCAATCGTTTTGATGAGCAGGTGCGCTGTCATAAATTCAACTACCCGTTGAGTATTGATGCGTCTTTAAAAGTATATTGCTTGCATCGTATTCAAATTCACTGACTAGTCTTCTCTGCCTGATTTTTCCCAACTTCAGTGAGGTTACTTCTAAAAGCCGTACAACACTTGAGTTGTGGCCACTCTATGTAAAGGGGCTTTTTGAAGAATTTCAACTTACTGTTGCGTCCCAGACGTGGAATCAATGGCAGCGCCGTTTTCAAAATTCTTCAGACTTGAGATGTGTTCTGAGGTTTTTTCACTTGGCCATTAGGGAAGTGTTCCACTTGAGTACATTTTTTTTGGGTACTCGGACTCGGGAAAATGTACTCATACTCGCGTGAAAAAATTCAATGTACTCTTATTCACAATCAAGGAAATGTACTCCAAAACGAAACTGCTTCATGGTGTCATTCTCACCGTCCGCTACTTGTGAGTACCTTTTCTCGGTTGAGCTCTGAGTCTCATCGGCTGAAGCTCCACCTCGGGGCTGGAAAACTGCGGACTGGAATTCAACCGAGACACCTGCCAAACAAAATCACGCCGGTTACACCACATGTACTTCAGCTTTGATTGAGTTCAGCCTGAGTTACGGCTGCTTGTCCACGCAACCAATCAGTGCATGGGCGTTGCCAAGATTTCCTTGGAGGGGGACCCGAGTAAGTGTAAAATGCCCAGTGGGTGTCAAATCCAGAGCATTCCCGTGTCCATGACTACGCACGGGGGAAGTAATCCAATGTGCTGCCCATTTGGGCCACTGGGACAGGAGTGGCTGGGTTCAGCCCATCTTTGAATAACCAAAACAGGAAAAATGGACAAACAATAATAGAAACTTAACCTATACACCCCCCATTTTGATAACTTAACCCCTCCCCCTTGAGAAAAAAAAATCTGGATCTGTCCCCAAGGACTGCAAAACCTAGAAAAGTAAAACGGTTTTCCCATGTCAAAATTTGGAACCAAAACGTCTGACGTTTTCATGATTCTTTTCACAAAAGATTCTTCATGTTTCTTCTAAACAGATTATTTGTGCCCCCAGATCATATGACCTATAAGCCTCAAGCTGGACCAAGAGAGGGCGCTATTTCCTTCACAGCGGAGGCTCCTTTGGTATTAACTGTGCATCCCTGATTCACGAACGACTATGAAATGCAAGCATGGCAGTCGCGGCTGCGCTGGCAACAAAATGAATACCACCGACCAAAGCAGCTCTGTTCAGACTGGGTGCGTCTGCAGAGTGGGTGGCAAACATTAGTAAAACTGGCATTCTCCTATAGCAAAGTGTGTTGTAATTGTTGGTTACCAAAAATAAAGCCAATTGTCAGTAAGGTGCTCAGCAGTCAGCACGTCAGGATTCATAGCACTGTTTCCGACTGTCGGCTTTATTTTTGGTGAACAACAATTGAAATACACTTTGCCACGGAGAATGGCACGATTAGTGATGCTATAAAACCCAGTATTGGTCAGGTGACTTAACGGACGCAATTGATCTACAGACGGTTTTCAGGGTTGCCATCTTGCAGGCCTGTGCTTTTATTCCACATGGTATGCACAAAGGAGGTTTCCCTGTGGAACAAAGGACCTGCCCCCCAAGATGGCCACCACGCATAGCCTCTATACTCTTCTTGTCAGGTTTGGTACACATGTTTTCAAGTTTCAGCTTGCAGGATACATGTAGGCGCGAATGACCATCTTTACCTGGGACCTCCTGAGAGGTGTTGGGGTGTGGAAAGTCTTGAAGGAATGCTGCACCTTGGCCGATCTGAAGAGCGAGAACAGAAAAGGCACGAGACTGAGTACGGCAACAGTCTTGAGGGTATTTCGTCAAACGTGTATGTTGTGCGCTTGTGAAAGTGGAAATTTTTTTGGCGTCAGAAAAATGCTCTCTTTCAAAAAAACAAAAGTGGAGATAGGAGACTTCTCTGAGGTCGGAGCGAATTTGTGGAGCACCTTGCGTTCTGGATTAAAATTCCTATTATAAACAAGCCGTTCAAAGGTTAGTGCGTACACATATAGACCACTCTTCCAATCAGGAACGTGCAATTTTCTGATATAGAAAGGATAGTCTCCCGATTGGAACAAACAATGTTCTTCTTGGAACGCTCTTTGGAGCTCCAACTTTTAAGACAGCCCCCTTCATCCTCAGGAAAGGGTTGCTGTTGCTGAGAGTGAGCCCTTTCCAAATCATTGCCTGATTATTCATCGTTATACCTGCTGACTATTCTACGTCTGCTGGGCGTGTTGAGCGGTTTGATGTTGTCCAGTTTTTGGAGTGTGCACCTGTCGGCGGACCTTCGGGGGCTGAAACGGACACCTTTTGCAGAGTCCCGCTTGACTGATTGCAATTTTGGAGGGGCGAGTTTCAGGATGCCATCCAAGCTACGAGGCGGCAAAATATATCAATTAAAATTTGTCGTTTCCCACTAAAAATGATCACAATCAAAGTTTGTGCAACTTTCCGTAGGGCTCAGACCGTTTATTTATTTATTGATTTATTAACCCTCCTTTAGCGGTAACCGTCAAAAACAGTAAAAAATTCTTTCCACATGATTTGCCTCAGTACAGACACATATGGGAAATTTGACAGGTTTGACAGATAGGACAACTGTGTCAAGAATGCGTCTTTCCACAGAAGGGTTAATTAATTTATTATGTATAGTGGGGAACCCATTCAGTGATATAAAAACTGTTCTCCCAAAGGTCCCAGTTAACAATACTAAAAAAGTGTAAAAAACATTTTAAAAAGCTGTCTTGCAACTTGCCTCATGACTGGTCTTGTGACTTGTCTCG